CCTTAGAAAGAGCTCGGGAGTGAGTGCACCTAACTCTCCACGTGTAAAGTGCATATGCCCTCGCTACATCCCCCGTGAAATTTACGCTTATGTCCATTTTCTCCGTTAGAACTAGACCTAAGTCACGTTCCGACGTTGAGCAGGACAAGCTTTCATTGCACGGGGTGTAACTTGCATTCTGCAGTCTACAGTTTCGTAACTTCACTACTTTGCACTTTTTCAGGTTGAAAGTCATGCTACTGGCTACCGCCCAGTCTTCCAGAATCCTTAGATCTGCCTGCGGTCTGTCTAAGTCCTCCGGACACTTTATCGCCCTCCATATCTTCACGTCATCAGCGTATAGAAGAATCGGGCAGCTTAGACGGCATGGTAGATCATTGATAAAAATCAAGAACATCAGTGGTCCCAGGATAGAACCCTGCGAAACTCCTGATGACGAGCTGTGCCAAGATGACCGGACTCGATTGACCTTATTGCAAAATTGCCTTTCAGCTAGGTAGTCCTTCAACCATGACAGAAGTGGTTTACCTAGACCTACCTGGCTTATTTTGTGTAGGAGAAGGTCATGGTGAACAGTGTCAAATGCCTTCTCAAAGTCTAGAAAGATCACGTGGACAGGAACATTCATATCCCAGCATGGTGTCCAGTCGTCCCAAGCTGATAATAAGTTAGTGACGCAGGATCTTCCTTTCCTGAAACCGTGTTGGGCTTGATGGAGTATTTTAGACCTATCCAGATATTCCCTGATGTGATCATCAATAATACTTTCCAGTACTTTTGATACCACTGGGAGTAGAGCTACTGGTCTATAACTGGTGGGATTTCGCCTATCCCCACCCTTGAAGATCGGAGAAAGGATTCTTCTTTTCCATTCCTTTGGCAGTTTCGCCGATTCCGTGGAGTGTTGGAACAAGTCGCATAAAGGCCCACAGAGAGCTTCGGCGCACTGTTTCAGAACAGATGGCCTGATGTCATCACAACCTGGGGACTCCGCAGGTATGAGTCGCTGCAGCTTTCTCAGTACTATTGCAGGGTTTATTTCGGGGGTGGCTATTTGGTCTTCCTCCTGTGAAATAGTGGTGCCACCATTTTGGTCCGTAACGGTAATACCCACATTGCTGTTTAGCTGTTTGGCGAAGGCTAAACTAAATGTTTCAGCCATCTCCAGACTAGTGGGATATTGACCGTTTTGGCCTGCTAAGGCGCACGCCCCCTGGTTGGTTGGTTTCCTTTCCGACATGAATCGGTACAAATTCTTCGGGTTTGCCAGGAGGTTTTAGCAAGGTTAGCCTGGAATGACCTCCTGTCCCTACTGACTTTTGCATTGCACCGGTTCCTGAGTTCCAGGTATGCATCATGGTCGATCTGGCTTTTCGATACGCGCCACGTAAACCAAGCCTTCCGCTTTGCTTGCAGAATACGCTGCGTGCCTCTCTTTGACCATGATGACTTTCTTTTTGGCTGTGTTGTGACTAAAGGGACGGTATCCGAGATTACTGTATGAATAATCTTTTTTACCGCTTCCCAGTGTTCATCCACAGACAGCTCATCCCATGCTAAGGGCCAGTCTGCATCGGATAAGAGCCTCCGCATTTCAGCATAGTCAGCCTTGCTATAACACAGACATGGTTGCGTAGCGTCCCACTGCAAATGCTCACGGAGAACGAGGTCGAAACCTATGACTGCATGGTCACTACTTCCTAGAGGACTCATGATCTGGACCTTCTCGACAAGTAGTTGGTCACTAGTTAGAATGTAGTCTAGTTTTGATGACTTTCCACTAGGGCCCCACCTAGTGTCGTCTCCAACGTTCTCAGTCAGTCCCGTGTTCCGAATAGCTTGCAGTAGATTTCAGCCGAATTTTCCCCTAGCATACCCCGAGCCAAGGTTCAGTGATGGGGCATTGAAATCTCCAGCAATGGTGATTTGGTCATAGCCCAAGTCTCGTATCCCTGTGATAGTGCTGAGCAGTAGCTGATTGTGCTCTGCCCCACAGGTGGGAGATCGCTAGATGCCACCAGGCAAATGCTTGGTGTGGCCTACGGTGAAATGACACCATATGGATTCTGGGAGTTCAATAAGTGGTGGGTCCGTTGCGCGCACACATTTAAGTTGCCTATCAAAGTATATGGCAACTCCCCCTCCTTCCTTATTATCCCTGTCTCTCCTGACCAAAACCATATCACCTATACTGATTTCATTATCGGTGATAGTGGGGGTTAGCCATGTTTCGGTGAGAATGATCATTTTCAGTTGTAGGTGTGCTTGGAGATTTCGGAGTTCACCTATTTTTCCTCTCAGCCCCTCACATTGCTATATAGGCAGCCGACAGTGAGTCTTACAACCTCAGCGTGTTGTGGGGAAGTTGACGTGAAGCTGTTTGCTGGTAGGGGACTTAATGTTGGGACTAGTTGGCCAGTTCCGATGGAACCGGCCTGTTGTGGTTTTTTCCCTTGGATTTGGGCAGGACACTTGAGTGGCACAGACTGTTATTCTCAGAACTGCATCGCTTTAGTGTCACTGAGGCTTGGGGACGTAGTAAAGCCTCCGTTTGCTGCCTCCTTATGGTTCGAGGTCTGCCTTCGCAGCATCGGATGTGTCCTCCCAATTTCCCCTTGATCTCATACCACCGTTGAAGTGCTATGGCCAACTGCTCTGGGGAGTTGAATGTGACACTTAGCAGCTTTGGGGGGCTAATCAGTGTGAGATGAGCGGGGCGAGGTAGTCGGTAAACGGAGATGGCTCCAGAAGCGGCAAGAGCCATCTGAAACGACAGCCATCTCCACTGCTGTACGTCATGCATGTGTTTTTCACAGGCAGTGCCCGTTTCCAGCTCCGGAACACCGTGTACCACCATAGAAGTAGAAGGCAAAAGTTCCGGTGACTCCCTCGCCATTTGTCTGACAGCCCATGGTCTGTCTTGTCTCACCCTTATGTTCGAGCTTCTGTCGATGGCTAGTAACTTAGCCATCAATAGTACCTTTTTGGCATCTTCGGCAGAGTCCAGTGTAACTCGTAATGGGAGTGGCTTACCTTGAGGTGTGTGGACACCCCTGTACAGCCCGCACAATTTCACTGAAATAATATTCAGACCTAGTTTATTGCACAGGTTGGACCACTGTTCCTGATCAAACAGGGCCCACTGTTCAAGCAGGCTGTCCTTGCTCACAGGTACGTTAAAGAGGATGAGCGAATTAGACCGATTAACCTCAGACTTAGGCTGGGCCTTTGGCTTCTCGTATTCCTTTGCAGCATCAGCAACTTTAGGCTTCATCGGGTTCTGGCCAGCCTTTATTGTGTTGCCAAGCTTGCTTGTGGATGCAAGTGGCGCTTCTCTAATTCTATCTTTCCTTGATGTTTTGGGTCCAACCTTTTGAATCTTCACCTTGTGAAACTTGGCATTTTCAGTCAGTAGGACTGGAGTGTCCTTCTCACTGTCTGTGCCAAGTTTTGGCAATGTGATGTTAGCAGGTGGGGAGCTACATAAGACCGTGTTGGGACACAAGGGCGGCGTGTTGTTTCTGCTATCCGCAGACACGCTCTGTGTGACTATGCCAGGGCGACAGAGTGGACAGATGTACCAAAACCACGGGCACGGGTTATTTCTAATAAACTCGTAGTATGATTTCGGTACCTCTTTGTCGCAACGGCAGTGCACCCACCGTTTGCAAAAATTGCATTCGAACGCTGAGTCAGCTCTGGAAACAATGATATTGCACGCCTGGCATTCGTCTCCCTTACTTGGTGACGCCTTCGAGGTATTATGACGTCTTGAGCGTTTCCTTTTAGGTTTGCTGTGTTTCACACATTGGCTTTCAGTTGATGCAGGTGTAGTATCCTGCCCCTCTAGTATCGCCTGTGCCGTTTCAGTACTAGACTGTGGCAATGCAGGTATAGTATCAGGACAGACGAGCCCTACACGGGTCTTTAGGATGGGTATGCGACTTGGGGTTGGTGTCCCTGGGTTTTTGTCTTCTCTGGCTGAAGCCCTTGTAACTACAGAGTAAGGTGTTTTGGTGCCATTTCTAAGGTTACTTTCTACAGCCATATTAACCATCAATAAAACTTATGCTGCATAAGAATAAGAGTGCAACAGTATCTACCCACAAGAACAAGAATAAGACTGGAAAAGTACAGGACAAGGAAAAGAAAAGGTTTCCGACTTTACCTAGTACTTTCTGGATGATCGGCTTCACAGCAATCACGTGGTAGACCAACAAGTCTTGTTTATCTGAACGAGTGAGGAAGATGCTGCTACAAAAATAGCACCTGAAGCTTTGGCAGTAGTTCGAGACAGCTGGACTTACCACACAGAGATTCGATATGTAAGTAATGGTTGAATTTAATTCACCGGCTAGGAAGATCAGGTTTCCAAAGCGGATAATTCACAAAATAGGTATTTTCCGGTTAGAGAGGAAAAAGCACGTCGTATTCAAGGAGCGCGCGCGATTGATCAGTTTATACGAAATATAAATTATTATTATAAGAACAATAAGAACGTATATAGGAATAAATATATTATGATTAATGAGATTTCTGGTGTGACGTTGAAGAGTTTTCCGGTTGGGATACGTCGATTAATGATCAGAGATCAACAAACTCACTATCTTTGGCATCCGGCACCTTGCTGTTATTTGCACAGCTTGTAGTAGTCATCAGAAATTTTAGCCGGCATTTTACTGAGCTCTATAAATTAGTGCCCACTTTCTTCAGTCTGATGTAAGTGAATAACATTCCATACCTTCTCTTTTTACCAGATGGAAACTTTTTAGAGGACATAGAATCAGAGTCCAAAAGCTAAGGAGGCACTACATCGTAACTCCCGAATGCCGGAATTCTCACCTGCGTTATCGATGAGCCCGTTCAAGAATGTACTAAAACCGCACAGGCTCTTACTACGAAATGATTCACAATAGACTTAAAGCCTTCTATCCCTGACCAAACATCTGGATCACAACATCGTCTGCAGCATTGTTACCCTTGACAACCTTGTAGATCCGGCGGGTTTTGAGATTGTGGGTGTACTTCACGTGAAATTTGCGCGGTTGAGTACTACCAATTTTCTGCAGCTACAGTCTAGTAGAAATCTGGCAGTTTGTCAAACGCAATGGCTGAGGTTGTTGAACGTAATTTAGAAGACTCAGTTGGTGAAATTCTACACATAAGGAAGGCAAAATTGTTCAATAAATTAGAGATTAAGTGAGTTCCGATGGGCAGAAGTTGGTGCATTACATCTATTAACATCTTATTTTCGCTTGTTAGCATTATAATCTTAAGTTCGCCATCTGAATAGTGATCAGACGGTATGTTTTAGAAAGTAAATCCACAACGACTTATATTACTGACCGACCATAGTTTCACTACATAAAATACCAGCGTGTGTTTTCTAGGTGTTTTATAATACTGCGTTTTATACTATTGGTGACGACTTATTGAAACAATATATATTCCACTTGAATAGATTGTCACAGCTTTTCGAAGCAATTTGTTTGTTACAAATTATTGGCTAAAGTCTCAATCGTTTATGTGTAAGCGTTTTATTTTGGAGTTTTCGGAATTTTAGTCCTTATGGTTATCTTCGAAACCTATCATCGGACTTAAATTTTTGGTCTGATGTATTTTGACACAATTAAAACTAATCTGGGTATATTGTCGCTACCAATAGATATGAAATGATGTGCTAAATTCGCAGGCATTCTTGTGGATTGTTGTGTGGCTCCATCTTATGTTTGATGTTGGGAATTGATTTAAGGACATTAAAATCGTCAGACATTCCTATTTTGTTGACAAAAATCACTTCAGTCAGTTGAGAGCATTTGGGAATGACACATTTGCACGCTTTTATCATATAAGTACTTTCATAAATCGAGCCATCATTAGACACCAACTTTATTGATTTAAATGAGTTCAATACTTTGGGAACTCTGGCACACCACAGGAAAAAAGTACTTATTTTTTTAATGTAACATGATATCGTATAGGAAGCAAGAGTGGTGCGCACAAAAGAATCGATCAACAGTGTATCAGTAAGGTTAATAAAGTAGTTGAGCGAGAGGATAAAATTGTTAAGCACACCAAATATATTCGAAGGGGTGTGTGTTATTCCATGTGACTCCTGGAAGTAAATGAAGGAAACTACAGTGCATCAATTTTTGCTGAATGTTATATGAGGTCTGTTTAAGGGTATTGTTTCCGCATTCAATGAACATTACAGCTGATATTGAAATATTGTTAGAAAAAACTAACCTTTTTAACTCTGCATTGAAATTTAAAAGACACCTAACTTTGAACACTAGACATTGAAGAAAATGTATTATCTGGTTTCACATCCTTGTTTAGTCAGTTGGTGCAACTTCAATCCCATAGTATTATCAAGATGGAAACTACTGATACTATGATGGTAGCCACTTGTAGTCTTCCCATTATCCCAGGTATGTTTTCAGTGTAGTGGGAAAGTGTTTTTGACCAAGATATTTGGTTAAATAATTGCTGTGCAAGCCTTTTATGTGCTTCAAGAAAACTAGGACTCGCAAAGGTGATATTCAGGAACCGAAGAATATGTGATGTAGCTGAGTCTTCATTCTAATATTGGACACTTAATCATCCATTTTCTCTGCATGGTACGACTGTTCATGAACTGAAGTGCTCTTGTTCTCTACTGTCTTCATTGTTTTTGGTTTCATGTGAAAATTATTTAAAGTGTTACGTCTTGTATGAAATACACAAACATAATAGATTAGCTGAAATCTTATCATTTTTAAAACCATTTATTAAGGCATTGTTGCACTGTGAAATCCACTCTACTGACTTCAGCCTGGTTGAGTGATGATATCCACTGTCAAAAGATGAGTGTGGCTTGCATAGCCGAGTACATCGAAGATCTGTTCCGGGTAACTGAATTCTGTTATATCGAGAATAATTGGCTATTGGAAGGCATTATTTTATATCAAATTATTATTCATCAAATGTAATTGGGTTAGAAACGAAGATTACTCTTAATGAGTGGACATTCAGATTTACATCAGACCTAATGTGCTGATTGCTTACAAAATCCTAAATCTCATACGGCATTCGCCAAATTATGGTTTATCTGGTGTGTGTGGAGGTGATACTTGGCTATTGATCGAAAGAGGTATGTAGTGCTCAGCAGTTAGCGTTGTTCCTTTTTATGACTATGAGTCATGGCCACTAAAAGTGAAAGACCGGAAGGGACCAGCTTTCTTTGACCATAGCTGTTTGTGTTCTATCTCGCATGTTAATTGATATAATATGGTGAGTAATAAAGCCAGGTATGGAGTAGTAGGCAGGGAGTGTAAGTCAATCGATAAGGTTGTGAAGGTACATTGACTGAGATAGCTGGGATACGTGTTACACATACCAAGCCATAACTTCCTTCGTCGGGTATTAAGTATAGTAAGGTTGTAGAAGAGTTAGGTGTGGTCAAATCAAAATCTGGCATTAATCCATGGAGTCCTTCACTGTTAGTTTGAGCGAGCTACGTAGAGAGGTATAGGTTGTTTGGTTGAGGTGTACGGGATGCTAAAAACCAATGCCTTGTGACTGCTTGTGATGATGTGGCTCAAAATCGTTCTCAGTTACACAGATGTATTCACTCTTTGTAATTTCTCAGACCTATTAAGCTTTCTCACATGTGTTTCCGCTCATAATGGTTATTTTGAATTCACACGAAATAATAGTAATAATTTTTGCTTTATTCCAAAAACAGTACTAATGATACAGCAAGGAATTTTCAGCATTCGGTACAATATTGCATCTAATTCACTCAAAAACGACAGAAAAAAACAAAATAAAAACAAACATTACATAATAATAACAAAACGTTATAGCAGCTATGTATCAATTACAGTATGCGATAAGGAGAAAAATATGCATAAAGTATAAAATTGTAGTAATAGTAGTAATAACAACTAAAATAAAATAACTAAGTTATAATTAAACGATAGAAAGGGTGACACCATAAAATTACAGAAAGATGAACGATGAAAGGGTCGATTCACTTTGCTAATTACATAGTAACTTATATGTTTCACGTCTAACAGTGTCTCCATCACATAAAATACGGGCTAAATACGGTATTGTAGAATTTTTGTACTTAGTGGTTCGAGCATATAACTTCTTATATTGACTTCTCATCCTACCTGATGAGATACAAGGGGATAGTTGTGAATAAAGGGGGTACATGGGGTCTGACAGTACGGCCTTTGCCCATTGTGTACAGGATTTTATATGTCTCTCAACTATAATATTGGCGAGCTCTTGCAGTGGCATACCACAAGCCCTACTCACAACATTTAATACCCTTCGTAATATGATATAGCCTTTTTTGAGAAGCCCAGGAAAGATTAATGGAGAGCAGTAGAGTACAATAGGTAAAATACAGGAGTTTAAGAATTGCAGAACTAAAAGTTGGTTGATACCTGATTGTCTTAACTTTTTTAATGTAGAAGGTAAAACGAAACATTTTCTTAGAGATTGATAAGATGTGAGATGACCATGAAAGGTCAGAGGAAAGAACTAATCCAAGGTATTTAATGGTTGACTTGGTTTCAATTTCAGTGCCATCTATGCTACAGGCGTCATGGGAACTAACTAGTTCCTGTATGTCATCCGAGCATCAACCGTAGTAGTTGCAGTGAAATGGTTATCTGGTTAGCATTTGAGCCTTAAAGGTCATCGGGTAGAGCGCCGGACTAGTGTAATTCGGAGATAGCTGATTGGAATCCTGTAGCGACCCGAATTTTCATATAAGTTACTATGTAATTAGCAAAGTGAATTGACCCTTTCATCGTTCATCTTTCTGTAATTTTATGGTGTCACCCTTTCTATCGTTTAATTATAACTTTGCTATTTTTATTTTAGTTGTTATTATTATTATTACCACAATTTTATACTTAATGCATACTTTTCTCCGTATTGCATACAGTAATTTGCTAAATAGCTGCTATAACAACGTTTTGTTATTATTATTATTATTATGTAATGTTTTTTTTGTCGTTTTGAGTAAATTAGATGCAATATTGTACTGAATGCTGAAAATTCCTTGCTGTATCATTAGTACTGTCTTTGCAATAAAGCAAATTATTATTAATTATCACTTACTACATCTAAGCGGATACTGGAATTACCTTGAAACGTTCGATTCGAGGGTGATGTAAAACGTCGTCTATTTTTTGATGTGGTCATTCAAACTATGCATTTTTTATTTTTTTTTGTTTTTCTTAGTGAAATAGTCCGCAAGAGAAGACATCATGAATACACTTTACAGAAACGTAATAAACGCATAATTGATTATGATGCTTATATCAGTACTGAAATGACAATATTGAAATTGCTACGTTTTCGTCGTCAGGTGAGATTTGACTTAAGTCCCCCTTTTTTATAAAGAATTTCTTTTTTTAGACTGCAGACGATACCAGATATGTTGATAAAATTGAAAAATCAATTATCAGTCGACTTATGCGATTGCATCGGGTAATCATTTTCTGCCTATATAATGAATAACTAATTTATTTTTTTTTGAATTACAGCAATTATGTTATAGATTTCAATCACATATTGATTTATGGATGCGTTTTATTCACTTTTGTAAAACTATTGGTCGACACTTGAGTGTTATGCGTATCTGGAATAATATGCTAAGAATACACGGTCGAACAGAACCAAGATTATGGATTGCTGCAGCGGCATACCATCTGCATCATGGTGTTAGAGCTGAAGCTCGTGGAGAATTACAAAATATTTCAAAACAGAAAAATGAATTATTAAAAGTGCGTAAAAGGCTGCGTAATGAATACACAGTGATGACTACTTGTACATCGAAAGAACAAAAGCAAAGACTTAGTGATCTTATTGAAGAATTAAGTAAGTTTTTTGTGTGTTCTTATTGTAAATATTCTATCCATTCGCTTACGTCTTTCATATAAGTTAAACTACTTTATAAACTGAAACTGCAATTTAATGGGGACGTGGCTAGCGAAGTCTTACATCTGAGACTATCGAGGGCGATAAAACGGACTTATACTGCCGCCACCACCCTTTGTTTGTCATTTTCCAGCCGACCAATTTTGATTGCTCAAGTGAAAGATAAGCTACCTAGCTGTGCCACTTCGATGTGTATCTATAAATTTAGTTGCTCCTGTGGAGAAAGCCAAACAGGGCGAACAACTAGACAGCTTAACAAACGCATTAATGAGCATCTTCCTTCATGGTTCAGAAAAGGTCAAATAAAATCCATACGAAGTTCTATTTTGGCTCATTTGATTGATAGCGGTCACCAAGTGGACAAAAATAGTGCTTTCAAAGTTATCTATCGCATTCCATCGAGTCTTTCGAACGGAATCAGAACCCGTCTTTTACATTTAGCCGAAGCTATGGGAATTCGAGAGAACAATCCTAGTCTTCTATTCAAAACCCTCCCACTCACCCTTTCTTATTTTCCATCTCCTTCGTACTTTTATAATATTTATTTAAACTCTGATTATCGTTCCACTTCACCTTTTAAGATTTGACCTAACTTATTTATTTACTGAATTGTCTACATATACACTTATATACGCATACTATCTTTGTTATTCTTATCACCACGTGCATAAACCTTATTGTCAATATTTTGTTATCATTATAATCATCGTTATTAATTACGTTCAAAACATTTACCACATTATTATTATTATTTGATTCCTAAAATCACCGTCATTGGTTAAAATTTTATATATAAGTCTATGTAAATTAGAGTAAAGCCTGAAGAAGATCTAATTGAAAACGATATTGTTCGCTTATATGTCTTGTTCTAATACTTTATAAGTGGTTGAAATTTGAATCTTTGACCTAATTGAGCATTCATCTTGAATGGGTCCATGGTTCAGATGTCACTCTGACTAATTTATCTTGGAAGACTGGGTAATATACCACCAGGCTTTACACAGCTGATAATCTGGTGTATAGAAATTTTGTTTTATGTAACAATAACCTTCTGACTAGCTGATTTTATAAACTTTCCGATGGTGAATTGTTAGAAGTTGCTTGTACCGATAGAATTAATGTAAGTGTAGAAATGGGTAGGTTTAATATATATGCGCTCTCATTATCACTAACTACTCATGACAATTACACACTTTTTAACTCGTTGTGTATGACTTGTGGAATATAGTTGTGAAACTGCTGTACTGTACCCTAAGCAGTAAGATATAAATTTCAGACTGTGTAGAGTGTCTATTTTCCTGTGTTGGGTTGGCTATGTTTGTTCATTATCGTATGAAATTGCTTGAATTGAATAGTAGTAATGGTGTACTGTGTTCTGTTCTACACAGACCACGAGAGAATTTCCGAAATACTATTCAGGATTATTATTATTATTATTGTTATTTATTGTTCCCTTGGGTTCTAATTGGAACATTGAACTTCAAGAGAACATGTCCACTTTGTCCTATTCTTTGCAGTTCTCTTTAAGTGGCCCCACGGTTGCCTATAGTCTCTCATCTCCTCCTCCGTGTCACCCTCAAAAGATGTCTCATTCGTCATTTCCTATTTGGTTTCCACTCGACAGATAGCATGTATTGTACGCGATGTCCTACGACTCTCCATTGAGAGTGGAAGACATGAAAAGATTAGCTGTCTTTGATCATAGGTGTCTGCGTTCTATCTCCCGCGTGAAGTGGTATAATAAGGTGAGAAATATTGAGGTTAGGTATTGGTCGACGAGGATGTGAAATTACATCGACTGAGATGGTAAAGGCATGTGTTACGTATGCATCCCTTGTCATCGCCTTCCTCGACGGGCAATGTTAGCCAGTGACATTGGTTCAGGCTGTAAAAGAGCTAGCGGTGGTCAAACCAAAACATGGCCCCATCGGTCAATGAAATCTACAACAGTTAGTCTAAGCCAGCCACGTAGGAAGGTGTAGACTTCCTGACTGGTTTGGATCCTCGGGACGGTAAAAGTCAATGAAGGCTGGAAACAATTGGTGACATGGCTCAAAATCGTTCTCAATGGCTGTTGCAGATGCATCCACTCCTTGTGACTTATGATTTCCAATGAAACTGTTTTGTTCTTCGTTATTACTATTCCTTTGTCTCTAATATGAATTTCTCCTACTTTCTTCTTTTCCTTTGTGTGCTACATGTGGGTAGTGTGGCGACTTGAACTGCTGCACATATGTGCAAAGTTCTATGTCGAAAACAGACAGACAGACAGATGTCCTACGACGGTCTCCTCAGTGTATATCCATTTTTGTTGTTGTTGAGCATTAGGTTATTGGTTGGTTCTGGTGTATCTAATTCTTTCTGGAAGGGAGTGCCAAAAGTGATTCAGAGGTGAAAACCTAAAATTGGTAAACTGTGTCAGTGCAAATGTCAATTATTATTATTATTAATATCAAGATTATTTATATTTTTGTCAAGTCATCAACTTTGGTTTCTTGTAGACGCAATTCATTGTCATATTTGTCAGAGATTGTTTTTTTCATCACCCTTTGTTGTCTACAGATTTTGTAATTCTCTTCTCTTCGTTATTCGTATTGTCTATGTGTTCTGTTTTATATGTGTATGATATTTTGCTTTTAGAGGAGAATGAAAATTCGCTAACTGAAGCGACCAAGGATATGTCCAGAGAACATCGTCTCACCTGGGATCGAGCACATTTAAATGCTATACGTGAAGCTCGACATTTGCTAACTGAAGGCATCTCATTGAATCCGGAATGTGATCTTCTGCATTTAGAACTAGTGAAGTTGGAGATCAATGCAATGGATTTCTTTCGAACACGTGTTCTTCCCAGATATGAAGGCTGTGGTGATAATAATAATGATAATCGTAATAATGACAATGGTATTATTAATATGTCATTGGATAATAGTCTTACCGATGAATCTAATCATACGATAAAGAAGAAAAAGAAGAAAATGGAGTTGAAGCCCTTAACGAAAAAAGAAGAATATGACAATAGAGAATTTGTAAGTGATGTGTTCCCCTTTGTTTGGTTGTTTATTTGTTTGTTTGTTTTATGCGATAGTAAAAGATGTCGGTGTTTCTGTTTAAACAGCGTTTTTAAACACACATATCTTATTCTGTTAGAAGGTTTGTAGGTAATCGATTCATTCGATGTGGTTATATTCATCACTTCTTGAAAAATTCTTGATTTGTGCGTCGGTGGCACAGCGGTTTAGGACGCTCGCCGACCATGCACATGGTCCGGGGTTCGATTCCCGGCCACCAACGCACTCCTTTACCTCGCGAAACCAGTAATAAAGCTGGTAAAGAGGAAAGGTTAGGCATGAGGCAGGCTAGAAACCCCATCCTGTAAAAAATAAACTCTGCTACAGAAACTTCAAGCTTTTAGCTCGAAGCCCTATGTTCCACTGGGAACGTGAAGGTTATTTTCATCACTTCTTGATGTATCAGCTAAAGTATCATTGCAGAGAATAAATAGCATTGGACATCTGTTCCATCTTGGTTTCGAATGTGATAATGAATTTCGACTTCTTATTTCTGAATGGTGGTGCTCGAGGGAGAGAGAGAGGGGGGAGTGAGTGAAACAGCTGTTCAGCAAGCTCTCGTTGATTTTTATGCTCTCCTTCCCGACTGTGACGTGGTGGTTGAACTTGCATACTGCAATGACCCAACAAGTTATGCTACTGGATGGGGATCAGTGTTTCTGCAAGTTCTCCTATGTTAGAAAAGTTGTTTCGATAGTAGTTTAAACTATTCTGGGAGGGAGGGGGGTTCTGTGGGCAAAGTTGTACTACTGGGGAATATGAATGTAACAGGAGTAAAGTGTTCCCGTCAGATGCCCAGTAAACTAGCTATGCTGCATCTTCTCTCTGGAGTGGGAGCGTTAGAAAATGTCTACCCTGAAAATTGTACCATCTGACTTACTTTGTGTCAGCTGGTAGTAAGATATTAATACGTGTACAACCTCGAGCACCACTTCATACAGACTGTGTGTGACCGACCTCAAATGGTTGCCACCTAGGGTCTGCGGTCACGCAACATTAATTCTCTTTCTGTTTCAGGTGGTACTCCAAGAAAAAAATAGTCAGTCACATAGCTGTGTGGTTGCTGCAAGTTTAGGTGACATCACAATGCACCTCTGATATTTTTCCGACTCTGGTCACTGTTTACGGACATAGAATGAAAGGAATATGATTGACCAGTCTGTAGAGTAGTACTAGCAGTAGGAGGAAAACAAGATGATGAGGGTGACGTAGATAAAGGAGAATGACGATCTGGAGGACTTCGTATGCTTTTAGAAGTGTGTAGGCGGTTATTACTTCCTGGCTGCTCTGTCCTTCTCTATGTCTGTAAGACATGACCATTTAAAGTGGAAGACATGAAAACGAGGTTTCGATATCAGTCTGGGCATTATGAGAAAGCGGTTGAGTCTATGCTCACTATATTGGGTTTTACATCTAAAGCTTATGTACCAACAGCTCCTAAAAAGGCCTTATTCTTACAAATGCAGTTCCTTGGGGACAATATCAGCGAGATATTAACACAATGCCTTAGAAATTCGGCAAAAAGAGCATTCCCTGCTGCTGAATTATGCTGTGTCTTAAAAACCATCCACCTCTATTTTGCGTTCGGGAGGAAAAGATAAACTGCCTAATTTCGCTCCTTCCATGTGTATCTACCAATTTAACTGCTCCTGTGGAGCCAGTTAGTTGCATAGGCTGTACAATTAGGCGTCTTTCTCGTAGGATTTCCGAACATCACTCTGCATAGTGGTTAAGTAAAGGACAAACAAAATCTATTCGTAGCGCTATTCTATCTCATCTTGTGGATACAGAACACAAGATTGATGTTAACCAGGCTTTCAGGGTCATTTACCGCATACCAACAAATCTCAATTTTGCCTTAAGAGTTCGTTTACTGAATATTGCTGAGGCTTTTGGGATGGGTGTTATAGCGGTTAGGACGCTCGCCGACCATGCACATGGTCCGGGGTTCGATCCCCGACCGACGAACTCCTTTACCACGCTAAGCCAGAAATAATGCTGGGGAAGAGGAAATGTTGCGCATGAGGTTAGCAACCCCATCCTGTAAAATAAACACTGCTACAGAAACTTCAAGCCACTAGCTTGAAGCCCTATGTTCCACTGGGGAACGTGAAGGAAAAATATATATATATATATTTTGGGATCCAGATTAAGAATCCTAATTTGTGCATCCAAAAGAAGCTAGTTCAGACACTGTCCTTACCTTGGCCATCCAGGTTTGAATGGTCCTCAATTTTTGTGGAATTTTTATAATTTTATTTGATATTCTATTTGCTACTATATTTTCATTATTATTATTATTTAAGCATGTTTAATGAACTGTAATTCAGTTGATCTTACTTAAAAAAACACTAATATTGTGATTGACTACTTTTCTGGAATATTCTATTTAAATAAAGCCAGAAGAGGAATTTATCGAAAAGGATATTCTTTGCTCAATAATTATTTTGTGTTTAATAGATGTCTGAATGAATATTTTCGCTATATTAAAGCTTATGTAACATTATTTTATTATTATTATTCCCTTGGATTCCAAGTGAAGCACAGAGATTCAGCAGTCCTTTACTGTGTTTGCCAACTGTCTTCGCGATTGTCTATAAGCTTTCATTTTCTCTCCATACCATCTCTATGTCATATTCCCAAACCCATTGTTGTTCCTCATTCGGGTTCGAGGGTCTGCTTGGTGCTTGTTGATATCACTCAACCGTCTCCTCAGCATATATATCCAATCCATCTTCATTTCCTTCTATATATCTATTTGGTTGGCAGGTTCTTCGATAGTTTACTATTTTCTTGAGTTTCTTGACCAGTCATTTGTTCTTCAGAATCGAGCTGACGACGGCAGTTGTTTATGTAAATCGATAGTAACCTATTGATCTCTGACAAAATCTCAGTACGGATACAGAGGGCTATTTTCGTATATGATAGTTTACGCCGTCTCTGGCGTAGGCGTGATATGCGGCTGGCTATCGACCAAAGGGCGTGTGTACTGCTCAACAGTCCTCTCCGTCCTCCTTTATGGCTGTGAGACCTGGCCATTGAGAGCGGAAGACATGAAAAGATTAGCTGTCTTCGATCATAGGTGTCTGCGTTCTATCTCCCGTGTGAAGTGGTATAATAAGGTGAGCAATATTGAGGTCAGGCACTGGTCGAGTGCTAGGTAGGGGGGAGGGGAAATCAATCGACGAAGTTGTGAAGCTACATCGGCTGAGATGGTTAGGACATGTGTTACGTATGCATCCCTAGTCATCGGCTTCCTCGACAGGCAATGTTAGCTGACATAGAATCAGGCTGCAAAAGAGCTAACGGTGGTCAAACGAAAACATGGCTCCATCGGTCAATAAAATCCACAACAGTTAGTTTAAGCCAGCCACGTAGGAAGGTGTAAACTTCATAACTGGTTGGGACGGTAAAAACCAATGAAGGCTGGAAACAATTGGTGATATGGCTCAAATTGATCGTTCTTTATGGGTGGCGCAGATGCATCCACTCCTTGTGATTTATAATACCCAATTAAACTAAATTGTTCTTCGTTATTACTATTCCTTTGTCTCACACGTCTGCTTACTGTCTCTAATGTGCATTTCTCCTACTTTTTTCTCTTGCTTTATGTGCTACAAGGAGGAACTGTGGCGACTTGAACTGCCGCACACATAGGTGCAAAGTTCTATGTCGAAAAAATAAACCGAACCTATTGGAAATGCTTCCCTTGATATGTGCGCCAAGTCTGTGAAGCATCTAGAACCAGACTGACTGACTTGACACAATAGTGTAGCAAATCTGGATCTTGTTACTTCTACCTGAGCGCTTCATAGTTTAACTGTACTAGCAATCATTAATTTGAAGTCATGGTTCATTGTTCGGCTTATATGAGTTCCAACCAGTGAACTTCCCGGCTGGAATCTTACTCCGTTTAGTTAGTATTGTAACAGTAGAAGACCAGAGATTTAGTAACAGAGTGTTTTTGTTTTCGGAATTTGATATCTCTATTATATAGGGAAATTGTGTACACCTTATATGAAGATCATTTTCTGCACGGATCTTCCATGCTGTGCTACTTCTCCCCCCCCCCTTCGTATCGTCTCTCTTTGACTTCTTTTTATGTGAATATACATTACAAGAGGCATAGAAACAAAAATTACACAGGATTAGAATATAATTGTAAAATAGTTATTCTAAATAGATTACAAGTGTGGTCAGGAGGAGCATGGAAACAAACTTAAAATAACTGATTTAATAACTGAAAAAGAAATGGGATGAATTGAATGAAGACAAAGAGAGGGAGAAATACACACTCAGAGAACAAAACAAAACAAAAACAACTGAAAGATAAGGGAACATACCGAACTAGGTCCCCGGTAGTTGTAAAGGCTGAACTAGTTTCTTTTAAACACACAATGCTCTGGCTTTTCGATGCAAATATTGCGAGAGCTTCTGCAGGACAAAGAAGTCGGAAACACACTGACTGTCTTCGATAGATTTTTGTTTACTTTGTAAATGACTCTGAATGATGGACGAGTCAGTTGAGATGCTGTGTCAGGTATGCTGACTAGGTGTTCAGTTATGGCGATTCTGATTGAACCAGTGCCTCCTGTTTGCAGCCATGCTGGATGATGTTCTCTAACACGTTTCTCTAAGCCTCTTGTAATTCATATCAAGTTGAAAATAATTGTCACCTTTTATTCTTTTTATGTCTCCCATGTTCCGCCGCAACACTGGTTCATTTGCTCTCTTTGACGTCAAATCTATCTCTTCGCCATCTAATATATATTTATGGCGATGGATGTCTCTTTACATACTACTAATAAATCTAATCAGTAGCATTTTTTTGATACACATTTTCTTGTTTTATTTTTACTTTTATTTCTTTTGATTTGGTGTGATTTGATTTATAGATGAGTTTAGTTACAGAAGATGTTAAATTCATAGTAGAAGGTGGAGCTGTTAACCTGGTTATTGAATCATTACTTACCCGTTGGGTGAACAATAGTAAAATGCTTGAATCACTTGAACAAGTATTGTCAACTGTTCCACACCTAATAGATTCTGCTTTATTCAAGAAGATCTCCAAATGGTATGTATGTTTATTATTTTCAATTATTATTGATTATTTTTTCTAAATTTCACTTTCTCTATTGGACTGTTCAGTGGGCTCTCCTAGTTGTAGACGTTTCAACAATGCGTGTTAAGGTTAACAAACATAAAGTGTTATTTGGTGTTAGTAGGGTGACCTTATTAGCTTAGTGGGTGAATGATAAGGCTTTGATGTTTCTTAAATGTTCATGTATAATCCCCATCCAGGCATTAATGAAAATAAAACACGTAGATCAGCGAAGAGTCTCTTTTCGGCGAATTCATTTTCTTAGCTGTACAATCGCAAATATATGTGTTATTTTATATGTATGCCTACATCATCAAACAAAAATACAATTGGTTATAGTTATTTTAACTAAACAGGTGAAGATTGGTAATTGGAGTTACGTAATAAAAAATCGGTCAAGGAAATTGGGTATTAATGAAATTAGAGTAGTAACAAAGGTGATGAGTTATCACAAACAGTTGTTAAAAGAAGTTATGTAATAATATGAATAGTTTGATGAGTGAGTTTTACTCAGGATGCACATAGGAACAAAGTAGATAATACGAAATTACGTAAGAGTTCTAAATACATACAATAATTATAAGCAACTAAAGAACGGGAAAAGAAACGAAATTAAGTCATCAAAATAAAAAAAAATCAAATCAAAAAAGTTGTTACCGTGATAGTGGAAGTGGTTGAGTAATTCCACTTTTGTATGCACAGCTTCGGTTTTTCTATGTGAATGGCCAGAGCTTCAGCGATACAAAGAAGACGAAACTGTATTGCTTTTGATAGGTTATTCTTGACTCTGTGGATTACTTTGAAGGAGGCGTTTGTTGAGATGGAATGATCAGTGTTAACCAGGTGTTCAATTATCGCACTCCTTATTGCACCACTATTGCCTTTTCGCAACCATACTGGATAGTGTTCTTGAATCCTCTTGGACAGGGTGCGCGTCGAACGACCGATGTACCTGGCTCCACAGCAGCAGGTGAACTGATATATGCACATAGAAGTGGTCAGATATGAGATCTTGTCCTTGAGGCTTCTGCAGATCAGTGGGCGACTGGAGAACACTATTGTTAGCGTTGCTGCAAAGAAGGTTCTTCTCAGAGATTATGTGATCCTTCTCTTGAAAATATCGCTTGTTAAATCTCCCTTGAAATCTGAGTTCATGTAGAGTTTCTTTTTTGGCGCAGTTAAAGTTTCGTTTCTCCGAATTCTTGGTTTGATATTTTTGTCGATGAATCTTATTGGGTATCCATTTTGGATGAAAATTTCTCTTAGAATATCTAATTCTGCTTCCAGAACGTCGGGACTACAGATGCGTCGGATGCGAGTGGCAAGTGATATAATTAAATTCCGCTTTTGTTGAGTGGGTACCCAACTATAGAAGCTTGTTAGTTGTCCATTCCAAGTAGGTTTTCTATGGATCGATCTTCTTAGGCTCCCATCAGTTCTTCTTGTTAGTTCCACATCAAGAAACGGAATTTTTGACTCGTTTCCCATTTCAAGAGTGAATTTTATTGCTGGATGGCAACAGTTAAATGTCTTCAGCAGCAGATGACTGACTGGTTTCAGCGTAGAGCTTTGCACAGATGTGCACCAATTCGAGTTACCACACTCCCTCCATGAAGCACACAAAGCAAGAGAAGAGGGTGCAGAGTCACTCGAAACAGAGAGATAATAAAAAGAAGTGTGAGTGAGGGAAAGAGAATAGTAATATGGAAGAACAATAGAGGAGTTTTATTGGATATGACTGGCAAATTACAAAGAGTGAATGCCTCTGCGCCAGCTATTGATAACGACGATTTTGAGTCATATCACTAATTGTCTCTAGCCGTCATTGGCTTTTACCACCCCAAGAACCTCAACCAACTAGGAAGTCTACATCTCCCGATGTGGCCTAATTTAACTGTTGTCGATTTCATTGACTTATGAAGCCATGTTTTCGTTTGACCACTGAATCTTTTCCAACCTGATCAATCCTATGTCATTCAGCTAACATTGCCTGTTGTCGAGAAAGGAGATGACTAGGTATGCGCAGCAACACATGTCCTAACCATCTCAATCCATTCCGCTACTTCACAACCTCGCCGATTGATTTCCCCTCCCACCTAGTTATATTGACCGCACAAAGCGCACACTTTCCAAACACATCTCTGAACATTATCTGGCATAGTTAGCAAAAGGACAATGCTAGACAGTTACTGGCTCAATTCTCGACAACTTGGTGAACTCAAACAACGCAGCTCCACCGAAGTCGTCCTTCAAGATTATCTACACGGTGAGATTAAATGATACAAAGGGCGTTAGGTTTCGGCATTTGTGTATGGTGGAGGCGTTGACAATTAGTCAATACAACCTTGAACTCTATGCAGAAAACGTTTGTCCAGTCTCTTATTCTACCATGGTCTTAACTTCTTCACTAGCCGTTCCCTGTAATTAATTCACTGTTATCACTCTCATATGTTCCTTTCGTACACTTTCTCATCCTCTTCACACTTGTTAAATGGACACTCAACTATCACCTTTCTTCTCACTCAGTAACACTTTTAACCTTATCAAATTTCTAACCCTTTCTTCCTTTGTGTCTTCCATTGAGTAATACGTAATTTACAACTTTTATTCCTTAGTTCTGAAGCCACTTCTGAGTAATTAAATCAATTATGTCACTCCCTCCACCTATCACTCAATAATGGACTGCTACACATTTTTGGTAAATATAAATACGACTCTACAGCCCTGTGATGGTGATTTCGTCGATTAAGAAAATTTTCTTCACTGAATGGTGATTAATATTGAGGTTATGCGTAGAGTGTTAGGCAGGGAGGGTATTTCTTATGGATAAGATTACGAAGCCACAATGATTGAGATGTCCATGACGTGTATTTTGTATTCCAAACCCACTGTCTTTCTCTTCGGGCAGTATTCACTGGCATCGGATTAAGTTGAATAAGACTTTAAGGATGATAATATCGAGACATTGAATCGATCCATGGAGTATTTGACTGTTGATTTGAGCCCTTTAGAGGCATGTTGACTACCTGGCTGGGGTCAGCGGGATGCCAAGAATCACTGGTGGTTGGGAACTGTTGGTGATTATGGCTCGAAATCATTCCCATTGACGCAGGTACATTGACTCATTGTAATCCCACATATCTTTTAAATCCTCACCATTCTCCTTATACTTATTCTTGTTCCCTTTCTTCTTTCTATTTTCTACATTTGTATGCTACATGGAGTGTGGCGATTTGAGCTGTTACACTTGTGTCCATATTTGTTCAATGTTGAAAAACTCAATCAGTCAGGGAGGTTGTTTGTCAGTAGGGTGGTTTGCATAGTTATAGGTACCTTGTAAAATTGATATCTGTTTTCTAGATTATCTGGCTATCTACCAAAGGGTGTGTGTATTGCTCAAAAGTTCGCTCTATCCTCTAATACTAATACTTCTTAAACTTGAACCCTCCCTTAAAAACTTCGAAGACCCCAAACAATTTGCCTATAGACAGGGTAGGAGTACATTAGACGCTGCAGCTGTCTTACACAACAACATCGTCTCATCATTAGACAAAGGTGCCAAATACGTCCGCTGCACGTTTCTTGACTTCACTTCTCCTTTCGACTCTGTTCCTAGATGTCTACTGCTAAATAAGCTCTCTTTGACAAAAACTAAATCCTGGGTCACTAACTGGTTGCATTCCTACTTCTCTAACAGAATGCAGTACACCGTATACAAAGGTAAATCATCCTCCGCTGTACTCACTGAAGCCGGAGTCCCCCAAGGCGCTGTACTCTCCCCACTTCTCTTTTCTTTCTTTCTACATGACTTACCATCTTCAAATGACATTAATTTTGTCAAATACGCTGACGACCTGACTGTATCTTTGCCTATCAAATGTCAAAGCGACTGCTCTAAACTTAATGGCTTTCTGTCAGAAATCAGCCAGTGGTCCAAGGAAAATGGTCTTACCCTAAACCCCTCCAAATGCCAAACAGTCAATTTCACCTTTAGGCATAAATCCGACCTAAACAAACTGTTTGGCTCTTACGAGGTATACGACATAGACGGCACTGAAATAGAAACTAAATCGGAAATTAAATACCTAGGTGTCATTCTACCTGCCGATCTCTCCTGGTCGTCTCATATCTTAGCAATTTCTAAGAAGATATTCCGTCTTACCTTCTACATTAAGAAGTTAAAACATTCTGGTATTACCCAACCCTTACTCCTACAATTCGTTAATTCTCGCATCCTGCCTATTATTCTCTATTGTTCCCCCTTAGTTTTTCCTGGGCTACTGAAGAAAGACTATAACATATTACGCAGAATGTTAAATGTTGTCAGCAGGGTAAGCAACGTGCCACTTAACCAGCTTGTTAATATTCTGGTTGACAGGCACATGGACTCATGTGAAAAATGGGCCAAATCCATTCTATCTAACTCACACCAACCTCTTCACTCACAACTCTCCCTTTGCATCTCATCAGGCAAAACCAGAAGCCTATATAGAAAACTATATGCTCGCACCAGAAAGTACAAAAACTCAACCATACCCTACTGAGCTCGTGTTCTGTGTGATAAAGAAAGCATTAGGCGTGACACCTATAACTCATTAAATAGTCAGTAGTACAACTGGATCTCGTCTTTCCAACCCACATCATCAATAGGTACAACATTCTCTTCCTTCCTTTTCCTCTTCTCTCTCTTCTTTTTCCGTTATGTGCTGCTTTGTCTCTTTCTCTCGCTTACGCCAGTTAATAAGACAGCTCCTACTTTTCTAACACCTTCAAACACTATTTCAGCTTTACCTTTCCTACTGACATGCCAATGTATTGTTGTAATAATGAACTGTGGTTTCCTCAATCTATGTAGAATTCTATTTATTGATAATGTACAAACTGGATGCAATACTGTAGTAAAAATGCTGAGAATTCCATTCTGTATCACAAGTACTGTTTTGGAATAAAGCAAATTATTATTATTTTATGGCTGCAAGTAAGACATGGCCATTAAAAGTGTAAGACATGAAAAGCATGGATAGCTGGTTGTCTCTGATGATAGGTGTCTGCGTCCTGTCTACATCCCGTGTTAGGTGGTAGGTGTAATAGGGTGAGTGATATTGAAGTAAGGCTTCGGTCGAATGCTAGGCAAGGAGGGAAAATGAGTCGACGAGGTTGTGAAGTAACTGCATCGATTGGGATGGTTAGGACATTTGTTTGCTGCGCATGCCTAGCCATCGCCTTCCTCAACGAACAATGTTAGCTGACTGACATAGGATCAGGTTGGAAAAGAGAGAGCTAGTGGTGGTCAGACGAAAACATGACTTCATCAGTCAATGAAATCCACAACATGTAGTTTAGGCCGGCCACGTCGGGAGATGTAGACTTCGTGGTTGGGGTCCTCGGTATGTTACGAACCAATGAAGGCTGGATACAAATGGTGAAATGACTGGCTCAGATACATTCACTCTTTGTGATTTGCCAGTGATATCCAGTCAAACTGTATTGTTCTTCCATATTACTATTCTTTTTGCCTCATTCACACTTCTGTTTACTATCTCTCTGTTGGTGAATTTCTCCTTACTCTCTTATCTTGTTCTCTGTGCTACATGAAGTAGAGTGTGGTAGCTTAACTGCTGGATATCTTTACTAAGTTTTACGTTGAAACCTGTATGTCACTCAGTCAGTAAGTTTTCTATATTTGAATGGTTATAACTGATTCGGTAATAGTAATAATGGCAGTTATTGTGTTTGGGGGGGGGAACATATCGCTTTATTCATCTTTCTTTTTGCCTTTTTTACCTCTCGATTAGCATAAACGATGCAAAGGAGGCGGAGAATTCACAATCCATGCAGAAAGATGAGGTAATTAACAGTTTATTATTATTATTATTATTACTATAATGATTATTATTCGACTTAGTAATTTAGTGGGTGTATTTTTGCAAGTATTGGTTTTGTAGGGATTTGGTTTGATTGCATGGAGGATTTCATCATGAGCTGACATCAGTTAGAGAACCACTGGAAAACCAGCCGGGAGTACTGGACAGCTGTGGGTGCGTACTGCTGAAGAGTCCCAAACTAGGACGAAACAGCTGTCCAGTACTCCCAGCTGGTTTTCCAGGAGTGTATTTTTCTTTCCGTTTTGTTTAATCGTTGATCGTAATGTTGTTTTGATTATGAATTTTGGTAATTAGCTTATCTGCGTTATGTGTAAGTTTGCGATCTACTTTCACTCATCGAGGTTTGAGCAGTCAAGCAGGTAGTTATTTGATCTCAATTACTTACTCGGAGCAGATTTTATTATGTACCAGGCTGTTTAGGCCGAAGTATGTTGAGAAGTGAGGGGGACTCCAACTTGGGACCTTTTGGTTGGAAGTCTTGTGCTCAAGTTAGGGGGCCATCCCATCTCCATCATCAGCATGTAATTGATGGCTCTGCTTTGCAATTGTCTGCAAAGTTACTAAAGGTTTGATTTGATTGGTTTGATACTCATTAAATACTCCTAATGGCAGATTGTTTTGGATGGCGAGAGAGAGAGGGAGATGGATTGGGCTGATTATTGTGATTGGATAGACTTAACTTACTAATCTGTTAGCCTGCAAAAAATGAAGCAGTGCAGAGATGAACAACGAAAGCAGAAGCTGAGTATTATTATATTATTATTACTGTTCCCTTGGGTTCCTAGTGGAACATAGGATTTCAACTGCACGTCTCCACTTGCTTCTGTCTTCTGCTGTACTTTTCACCTACATCCATTTTAGTCCATACTGTTTCATCTCCTCTTCACACGATCTCCTCCATGTCACTCTTCGACGTCCCACTCGCCGCTTCCCTTTAGGGTTCCACTCGAGCACTGGCCTGACGAGCGATGTCACCCAGCGGCCTCCTCAGCGAGTGTCCAATCCATCTCCACTTTCTCCTCCATATTTGTTGGGCCATTGGTTCTTGTTTTGTTTGTTCCCATAGTTTCCTGTTGGTGATTCTTTCCGGCCATCTGATCTTGAGTATAAAACGAAGACAGTTGTTGATAAAGGTCTGCAACAGGCTGTTGGAAATATTCTTTTTGACCCGCCAAGTTTCTGATCCATAAAGAAGAAGTGACGACGTTTGTATTGAAAATCCGAATTTTGTTGTTGATGCAGGCTGAGTGACGAAGATTTCCAGATTGGTTTCAGGTTGATAAATGTGTTTCTCGCTTTCCCGATTCTCGATTTGACATCCTCGTCCGTTCCTCCTGTAGTTGAGACAATGCTCCCTAGATAAGTGAATGAAGTAACCTCTTTCAAATCCCTCCCATTGTGATGGTGATTGGCGCTGGATGTTGCTGAGTATATAATCCACAACACAAAACAAAAAGGGGGTACAGAAGACTACTGGGAAAGGCAAAACCAAAAACACAACGATTACGCTGTACCTAGAAAAAGACCATAGGAGATCTGGATTTCTCAGATGACTCATGTTTCATGTCATGCCAATTCAAAGGTGAAAGACAAACCAGAACCATTAAGTTGTTAGAAAAGGCCATGCCAGGGTAAGACTTTAGGTGCACTAAGAGAAGACAATGGTGATTGAGATACAAAATCTGGTACAAATTAGGCACCAAGAAGATCCGTCACAATAATTTATAAATAAAATAGTGGGAGAACGAGCAACATTCGTCGTGGTACTGTCAGAAAGTGAAGAAAGAAGGAAAACTGTAGCACGTTCGCCATTGATTGTGATCCTTGACCATATCCGATAACGTTCCGAGTCACCGATTCGAGCTATCTCTCAGACCCCAACCAGGGAGTCGTGACACACCAACCGATGATCACCTACCACAAATATTCTTCATCTCATGACTTCACGTCATCGGCTGACCATCTTTCCGTCTTTTCCATCTCGTCCCAGGGCTAGCGAAAAGAGGACAGTAAGGAAGCCTCTGGGATGACATTCGTAGCACATGTCCAAGCCACCGAAGCCGGTATTTCCAAATGTCGATATTCAATTAATGGTGATCTCCACTGTGTCCAAACACACTTCACCTGACCTCAGGATTACTCACACAATGATGCCATCAAATGCAAGCAATTCTGCGTAGACAGCAATGATCGAATACTCAAGGTCGCCGCCTCACATCCTCAGCTCGGATAGGCCAAGTTTCACAGGCGTAGAGCAAGACAGTCCGCACTGAAGCATTGTAAACTCGACCTTTGACAGACAGGTTAACGTTGTGACAGCATCAGAGGTGGCTTAATTTGACGTATGCCGCCCTAGCTTTCTTGATACAGTTGGAAATTTCGTACGTCATACCTCCACCAGCGCTTATACAACTACCCAGATACACGAACTTATCGACAACTTCAGGAGTGAGTGCAGGTACAAACTCCTGTCAATCTTGTAATAGTACTTTGCACTTAGACGGCGCAAAGCACATACCACAATTATAGACACTTATGGCCAACTGATTAATTGCGATTAGAGCGGCTTGCATGCTCTTGGTTGAAAAGTCTTTCTCCAGAAAGCAGATCTACACCGCCACCACGCACATCCTTCAGAGCTTACTCCAGAATGTCATCAATGGAAAAGTTAAAGAGAAATGCAGAAATTAAGCAACCCTATCTAACTCCACTTTTGGTTGGGAACAGTGATGATAGCTGGTTGTATGCCCTCAATCTACCTGAGGTGTTTCTATATAGGGCTTTCAGGATGTTAACAAATTTCTCAGGTACACCCCTCTCTAACAGACAGTTTCAGATAGCAGTTTTATCCAACGAATCTAAGGTAGCCCTAATATCAAGAAACACAACGATTGTTGACCTGCAATACATGTGACGGTGTTTTAATAACTGAAGTAGGGTGAACACATGATTAATGCATCAACTATTTCAACGAAACCCAGCCTGCTCTTTGTGAATCAACTCCTAACGCGTTTCGCACAGTTTATGAAGCCCCTGTAGTTGCACTCTGAATCAGCCGCAACAGCAATCAACTTAAGTCTTACACTCGGATTTTTATGTGATTATTTAATCAAATCACCATTTACTCACTGCAGTGTGTGTACTTGTTTGATTTGATTGTGTTCTTCTCTGAGCTGGTTGATTTAATTGTGAAGTACTGAAAATATCTGAAGCAGGACAACGAAAGCTTCACATCTAAACCAATCAGTTCAGAGAACACAACTAAGTCAGAATCATACCACCGGGAGTGAGCTAGCTTGAAGCCCTATGTTCCAGTGGGAACGTAAAGGAATAAAAAAAATAATAGGTCTGGGAGTTATCTTGTGTCATATTTTGTCATACCGTCTAAACTGTTAGAAATTTAGGCTTTTTGTGAGAATGTAGTTCATCGACTTGAGCAGTTGACTTTGAGAAAATGTGTCCTAGATTCCGATTCCTCTCGGCCTATTTCAACTTGGACAACTGGGTAGTATAACATCAGCCCGTCGCGTGATAACTTGAGCTTGCAGCATGATACTTGGGAAAAAATCTGTCTCGGGTTCTGAGTTCTAGCCATACTTACTGGGGATACACCGATGTGTTAGCCCCTTGTAGTAGTACTTTTAAGTTGATTATTATTGCGGCTCATTCAGTATTGTACTGTGATTTCTATGTGATTACTTAGTTAAATCACAATTTACTTACTGTAGTATGTACTTCTTTGATTTAATTGTGAAGCACTAAAGATATCTCTAGAAGAACAACGAAAGCTCCGCACCTAAACCAACCAGCTCAGGGAACACAACTAAATGAGAATTTTCAAGTGTTGGTTTGTAGGGATTTGATTGGTTACAGGATTTCATCATGAGCTGACATCAGTTAGAGAACCATTGGAAAACCAGCTGGGAGTACTAGACAGCTGTTTCGTCTTAGTTTTGGACTCTTCATCAGTACGCACACACCGGGATTCGAACCCAGGACCTTCTGGTTACAAGGCGAGCTCGTAGACCATTGAGTCACTGGGAACCGATCCGATGGCCAGCCCATGAATTCTAACTTCTGCCAACTCACGATATAGCGTAACCGTTAGCCAATGTCTTCGGCGAGTATTTGTCCTCACACCCGAACTGCTGCACCCTACTGTTCACGACTTCCCACTGGAATCCCAGGTAACTACCTACCTGAATAGGGCCAGTCGCCAGTGAGCATCTCATTGATTTTCAAGTGTTGGTTTGTAGGGATTTGATTGGTTACAGGATTTCATCATCCCGGTGGGTGCGTACTGCTGAAGAGTCCCAAACTAGGACGAAACAGCTGTCCAGTACTCCCAGGTTTTCCAATGGTTCTCTAACTGATGTCAGCCATGATGAAATCCTGTAAATGAGAATTATCCCTCTGAGCTGATCTACAAATCTTCTCATTGTGTACTCCATTCTTAGCACTATTGTATCTCAGCTTGTGGATACAGAACACAAGATTGATTTTAACGAGGCAGCTTACAAAATCATCTACCACATATACCAACCAACTAATCTTAACTTTACCTTAAGAGTTCGTCTACTACATATTGCTGAGGCTGGTTGTTGGGATCCACATTAAGAAACCTAACTTATGATGTATCCAAAAGAAGTTGGTTGGTTCATACACTGTCCTTACCTTGGCCCTCAATCAAGGTTTTAATGATCTCCAATTTGTTGTGGAAATTTCCTTAATTTTATTTGATATTCAATTTGCTGTTACATTTTTATGCCTATTATTATAATTTATGCATCCTTTGTGAACTGTAATTCTACGGTGATCTAACTTAACAAATCGATAGTATTTAAAAAACACTAATATTGTTAGTGACGACTATTCTAGAATATTCTATGTATATAAACATGCATATATATAATTGTAGAGCTAGAAGAGGAAGAAATTATCGCAAAGGATATTCTTTGCTCAATTATTTTGTTTATTGTTTTATCTAAATGTCTGAATGAATATTTTCGCTATATTAATTAAATTTTAATATTTCTTATTAGGTATCCCCTGAAAGTCAAGCCCAAAGAATGCAATCAATACTTTCAGGACAATTAGTAGAAATTCACAAAGCAATGATGGAAAAAGGTGTTGAAGGTGTTCTCCATCTATGGAATTCTTGGTATTTACCTTCAACTAATTCAAATTCTTCAAATATTGTATCATCTTTCCGTCTGATTAATCCTGCATTTCCTGAAGCTATCGGTTTATTGAAGGCCAGATTAACAGCACTCTCGTTATATTCAGTGCATGAATTAGATGACCAATTGTTGACATCACCAAAGGAAACAATAAACTCAATGGATGTCGATAGAGATGATAATAATGATAATAATAATATTGATTCGCATACAGCTTATCATAGTAGGCGTCAGTATTTGTCTTCTGAAGTGAATAAAACTCGTTCATTGTTTAATCTACTGGCTACTTCACAATGGGGTACTCATTGTCCTGGTGAGTATAACTTTTTTTTTCAGTAGTAATATAGTTTTATAATGTTCTCTTTGGGCATTCAACATATATATACAAAATGATGTTAGTGTTTCTAAGACTAAAGGTTTCTTCCATTATGGAGAAAATTTTACTTTGATAAAGTCACACAGGGTTTTATGCAGTAACACTTACTGATGACCACATTTTGAGCACAATTTATTATTGCTGCTCATAATCATATCAAGGCACTACTCACACAACTTTCTAACTTCGTTTATCTGATTCCACTACTTCTCATCTCTTCATTTGATGATTGGTTGTAGTATTTTCCATATCGCTGGTATTGGTGATGAATCACTTCCACATTGCATGTGTTGGCTGTGTAGATTATATGATCAAAGATTCTAGTAACCAACCTCTCTCACCACCTGCACACCTAGATTACTTTATAGAATTTTAACCCTCTCCCACCTTATTGTGTGCTTGTGTGTTAATGCATGAATCCGAAAATGAACAAGGAAAATTAGCTATAATTTTAGATTGTTAAATAAAACGAACGAAAGAATAAGGTAGACTGCACACTAGCGTTAATAAAAAGCCAGCGCATTCTAATAAATATTTAGACTTTAACTCATCTCATCCGTCGTTATCCGTGAGGGCAGGCTTATACAAGTGTCTAACAGACCGAGCAATAACACTAAGTAGTACAACAAAGAAGACCTAAATGATGAAATGAAACAGATAGAAGAGGAAGCGTTGGTGTTAAATAACTAACTATCCTTTAAAATTCATTAACAATGTCAGAAAAGGTCAAAAGCAAAATAAGAATAATGGGGAAGCTAATAATGATAACACAAATAAGAAAGAATATAAGGCATCTACTGCTATACCTTATAAGGAGGGGACATCTGAGACCCTCCTTACGTTAGATTCTTAATAAAGCAGGAATTAGAGTGACGTTTAAGCCCACAAACTCACTCAGATAGGGCAAGCTCTGTAGGTTAAAGGGATCTGTTGACCCAATTTTCTGGGATACTTAAAAAGAACTTAATTACACTGCGAAGGGCACTTAAGGCTGTCAGTAGGGCGAGTGGGGTGTCGCTAAACCAACTCGTCAATACTATTGTAGATAAATACATGGACTCCTGCAAGAAACTAGCAAATGTTATCTTTTCAGACTGTGAACATCCTCACTATACACAACTCTCTCCTTGCTGCCTCTCATCAGGTAGATAGAACTAGAAGCAACTATAGAAGACTGTATGCTCACACGACTAAGAACAAAAACTCTATAATACCTTATTTGGTCAGGACACATTTTATGTAATGAGGAAAGTGTAAGGCTAAGGCAGGCGATTCTACCAACTTACTTCGAAACTCTAAGTAAACGTCCTTCTTTTTTCACTTATATATTGTTTTTACGAGTTGATCACGGACTGATATCAGTTAGAGAACCATTGAAAACCAGGGAGTACTGGACAGCTGTTTCATCCTAGTTTGGGAGTCATCTGCTGTACGCACACCCTGACAGAGTTCGAAACCAGGACCTTCCGGTTACAAGCAGGCAAGCTCGTATACCATTCAACCACTGGGACCCGATTCCATGGTAATATTTCCACTCAATTTCTTATATTCTTATTGAACAATATTATCAGTGTAAATGCTCTGTAATGAGAAAGTTAGATGCAATACTGTACTGTACTACATCCTGAAAATTCCACATTTACTCCTTTCAATGGTCCATTCTGTAACTTAGCGATTAGAAAATCAGCTAGGCTTGAACCTAATAAGGAACCCATAGGTACACCATCAGATATCAGCTTTACTGTATCCCTGCTTGAAGGAACTTATTTTAAGATGTACAATGAATGTTCATTTATTATTCGATAAGGAAAATTCCATATTTCTACCCAGAAGCTATTATTTAATTCAATTTTATATTTTCCCGTCGATTGATTGAACCGAAGTGCTCCTTGGTCTCAGGTTGACATGTCAGCTTCTTGTGCAGATGCTTCGACGATGTTTGGACATGTAATTAGAAGTTAATTTGTGGATGGTGACTAGCAGTGCTGGAATCCAGGATAATGCGCACTTCATCCTATTTGGGACTCGTCAGCTAGTCACCAACCACCAGTTAACTTCTAATTACATGCCCAGACATCGTCGAAGCATCTGCACAAGAAGCTGACACGTCAACCTGAGACCAAGGAGCACTTCGGTCCAATCAATCGACCGGAAAATCTAAAGATCAGTTAAATAATTAATATGAACTGTTGCACAAGATGTGGCTCTGGTGGCCCAAATAGTCTAGTGGCTAATGCTTTAGCGTTTGAAACTATGGGCACTGGGTTCGAGCCTCGGCGGGAACATCATCACTGACTCACTGTGAAATGTAGGTACATCTTGACGACGAATCCCGAACGGGACGAAATACACGCTGTCCTGGATTCCTCTGTTAGTCACCATCCACCAATTAAAAACTGCTATTAATTATTATTATTATTAATGCAAGCCGATAAGTACATGTAAATGTGTAAACCAAGTAGCCTTGTTTCTACTCAAGGATAATTTAAATTTCTCTTTCTATATTTTAATTTTTTTTGATTACAGAATTTTGGCAATTATATTTAAAGTTTGAAAGTGAAATTGGTGATATTACTCAAGTGCCAGCTATACATTGGAGAGCTCAAAAAACACTAGTCAAAGAGCAATTTGATAAATTTATTAAGCTGTTGAATAACTAAGTACCTACAACTACATACTACTACTGTGTGTTGTATAGTTTTGTACAGTACTCATTTATGTGAATTATTCTTTCCCACTTTTGTTTGTATTATCTGCTTTTGATCTGCTTATTTTTCAAGAATAACTTATGCATTTTTGATTATTATTGTTATTATTCTTTTGAATTGCCTTTGCATTTTATTCTATTTTATTTTTGGAGGGATTTGTGGAAGGGAGAAAATGATGATGACGAATTATTATTATTATTACTTTGTTTCCTTTAATTCCTAGAGGAACATGAGGGCTTCAGCCGCACGTCTCCATTGCGTTCGGTTCTCTGCCAACGTTTCCACCTGGCTCCACGTCTGCCCACATGCTTTCATCTCCTCTTCTCATCACCTCCTCCTCCATGTCACCCTCACACTGACGACCAACTCGACGCTTCCCATTCGGGTTCCACTCGAGCAATGGCCTGGTGTGTAATGTCACTCACTTGATGGTTTGTTTTCTGAGAGTATGGCCAATCCACTTCAATGTCTTCGTTCATATTTGTTGCACAATTGGTTCCTGCTGGGTTGGTTCGTTCATTGCCAGAGATCCCTCACTATTGCTGATCTTTTCTGACCGGCCATCTGATCTTGAGTAGTATTGAGCGAAAACAGCTGTTGATGGTGTGTAGTTTGTTCGAAGTGGCCTTCGTGACGCGCTGGCCAAGTCTCTGATCTGTATAGTAAATATCACTGACTTGACATTGGAGTTGAAAATCCGGATCGTATTTTTCATGCTGAGTGCTGTTGATCTCCTGCACACAGACTTGATAGGAATGAATGCTCGCCTTGCTTTCCCGATCCTCGCTGCTTTGATATCCTCGTCAGTGCCATCCTCCTGTAGTTGAAACGAAGCTTCCTAGGTAGGTAAAGGAGGCTACTTCCTTCAGATTTCTCCCATTTTATGCTGATTGTTGTCGTTGCTGATGATGATGAATGCTGTGTTTTAATAGTTTAGAACAATCTAAGTGTTGATGTTTTCCAATGGATTAAGGTTTGTTGGCTATAATGAGACCGGAACGCAAAAATAGGCATTTCAATTGTGAATACTAAATACGATTACTTTCTTCCCCTCAGTACCTGCTTCACTGTGTCACACACACACACAAAATATAAAGGATAAATATATGATATCGCTGGGTGTATTTTCCTTATTGTGTGAAGGTTGATCATATTATTTAGCTGCTCAGGTTGAACTAAACAGTGAGACTACGATCAGGCTGGAAATTGACTGTTTCCACAGTTATAGACTACCAAGCTTTACAGTTAATATGGATCTTACGTGAAATGAAAGTAATACTAGCGTAAAAGTCAGCATGTTTGGAAAAAAAATCAATGTTTATTCTCTTTGTAGAATACGCAGTGTGAATTATTCGTGTTGTTTTGAATAAAGCAAGAATAACACAGTGGTTTGCGCAGAATAAAAGCCTACCATCATTGCTTGTTTCGTTGGCTTCTCATTAGCTGTTTGCAGTCTAAAGAAGACATTATCAAGTTTATGTACAGAAACAATTTTAACGTACTTACCCAGAGGGTTCAACTTGGAACAAGATATCAATGTCTGATTACAGTAGTAATAATAATAACCACTTTATCCCAAACAACAATAATAATCATACAGAATGGAATTTTTAGCTTTACGTAATCTAACCAGAGTCTATCCTGCAGCTGATTTGGTTCTGGTCTATCGAACAACAGGCTAGTCTTTGGTGCAATGAAAAGTTGACAGATACCCTTCTGTTGTTAACTCTACCTGTGCATACAAATTTACATCTATTTGCGGGAGCAGTTACAATGGGAGAACAGAAAGAAGGGCACACCTCCGTTTTTCTAGACTGGCACCCAAGACGTCTCCATTTCAAGGGAATGAACGCTCTAAACAGTGCCATTGTCAGACATCTCTTTGATACGGGTAATGAGGTGGACTTCGCAAGACCCTTCAACTGAGAAATGGCTGGTGGAACTTTTACAGCCGTTGCATAAGAAATTTGTGAAAAATAGCGTAGGAGATAGTTTTCAGTTTGTAGAAAGAATCAAGGAATCAAATGTTAAGGACAAATATGTGATATCACTGGATGCATCTTCCTTATTCACCAGTGTGCCTTTGGTGGAAACAATTGATTACATAGGTAGAGGTATAGAGATTGGAATTCCTGTGTCTTCCTTAAAGGAACTTCTTTTAAGATGCATAATGAACGTAAACTTTCTGTTCGATAAAGAAATGTATAGACAATCAGATGGTGTTGCCATGGGATCACCACCAGGCCCGAATCTGGCGGATTTTTTTCATGGCGAAACTAGAGAATGGTCCACTTAAAGATGTAATATATAATCTTGATTTCTATAGCCGATATGTTGATGACACATTTGTAGTTGTTGAGAAAGAAAGTGAGGCTAAGGACATATTGGATAAATTCAGTAGAGCGCATCGTGGCATAAGCTTCACTACAGAAGAAGAATAAAATGACTCTATCTCCTCTTTGGACGTTCTAATGACTAAACGAACAGATGGAACAATATGTAGAAGTTTGCATAGAAAACATAGTTCCACTGGACAATATACTCACTTCCTTAACTTCTTACCTCTACAATACAAAAGTAATCTGGTTAGATGTCTGGTTCAGTGGGCTAGGTAGAGTTATCTGTTCAAATGAGACACTAAACGAAGAACTCGGTAATATTCGTGATCTACTAAGTAGAAACGGATATCCAACTAAATTCGTAAAGAAATACATGAACTGAGAAAATAAAAAGTCGAAGTTGCCGACTGTTCTTAAAAATTCAGTCTTCCTAAGATTACAGTTCACGAATGATGTCAGTAGCGAGATCTTATCACAGTGTCTGAGAAGAGCCTTCAAAACGAGTTTTAGCGGAGCTAAGTTCTGGTGTATATTCACTAACCAAGCAATACTTGGTTCAAGAAATCAAGACAAACTGTCCTGTCTCGCCTCTTGCATGTGTATTTACCAGTTTAATTGCCCGTGCGGAGCTAGTTACATAGGACGTACGAGTACGATTCTGTCTACCGAGAGGTACTCTGGCGACGTTTGGCTGTAAAGGGAATGCTGAGAAAATACATTGCACTGATCAAGGCGCTCTACTCGAACTCATGCAGCCAGGTAAGAGTTTACGGAGAGTTGCTATCTGAAGTGGTGACAACTAGTGGTGTCCGTCAAGGATGCCCACTTCTATTCAATTTCATCATACATGCACTAATGGACTTAACCCTAACTCACTTCAGCGACTCAGGGATTGACTTGTTACCAGGGTGTAATCTCGTTGACTTAGAATATGCAGGTGAAATAGTCCTCCCTCCTAGGTGAAAACGCTGACATAATGCAGAGTTTTCTGAACACCTTGAGATGAGCAGCAATCTTCGAATGTTTGGCATGCCGTTCGTGCACTCCTATCATATATAACTTGATGTTACAGGACTGGACTACATTGACCCACTCCTAGCTTAGAAATAGGGAGTGAAGTGGTTGGTGGAGCATGTTGACCACTCCACTTATATGGGAAGTTGCATCAGCCAGCGCAGTGGGTTGATTGCTGACAAAATCTCAGCACAGATACAGAAGCCTCGGTTCGCATATGCTTAGTTTATGCCGACACTGGCAAAGACGTGACATCCGACTGGCTGTCAACCAAAGGGCGTGTGTACTGCTCAGCAGTCCACTCCGTCCTCCTGTATGGCTGTGAGACCTGGGGATTGAAAGTGGAAGATATGGGGAGTCTAGCTAGTTATCTTTTATCGTAGGTGTCTGCGTCCTACCTCCCGTGTTAGGTGTAATATGGTGAATAATATTGAAGTTAGACTTCGGTCGAGTGCTAGATAAGGAAGGAAGACCAGCCAACGAGGTTGTGAAGCAGCTGTATCGATTGAGATCGTTAGGACATGTGCTATGCATTCCTAGCCATCGCCTTCCTCGACGAGCAATGTTGGCTGACTGACATAGGATCAGGTTCGAAAAGAGAGCTAGTGGTGGTCAAACGAAAACATAACTTCATCAGTCAATGAAATCCACAACATATAATTTACACGGGCCACGTAGGGAGATGTAGACTTCGTGGTTGGGGTCCTCGGGATGGTAGAAACCACTGACTGGAGACAATTGATGATATGGCTCAAAATGATCATTCTCAATAGTGCAGATGCATCCACTCTTTGTGACTTAGAATATCCAATAAAACTATATTGTTGTTCTTCCATATTACTATTCTTTTTTGCCTCATATCTCTCTTTACTGTCTCTATTTTGCGTTTCTTTTTACCTTCTTCTCTTGCTTTGTGTGTTGATTGAAGTGTGGCGACTGGGAATGCTGCACACCGGTGCAAAATTCTAAGTTGAAGCCGGTCAACCATGTTTGATCAGGGATGGACGATACCATTTAGAGATAGTCAGGTTATCAATGTGCACGCTTTTGAAGAGTCCTGAACTAAGACGAAATAGATGTCTCATACACCCTTGGTAGTTTTTAATAGTTCCCTAACTGATTTCAATCTGTGAGGAAACTTGAAATAATACTGTATCATTCGCTATTTCTTCATCAGATAAATTATCCTACTCAATCCCCTTTTCAGTAGTATAATATTAAAAAACCAATAATCAAGAATAACAATCGATCTAATATATTTGAAGACAAAAAAACAACAACAAATAAACGATTGATTATCAATCAAACACTAATAATATTTGATCAACTTTTCTTTATTGTGCAAATATTGAACATCAGTGAAGAGAATAAGAGGTGGAAAATAAGAGCGAAGTCATATATTTGAAGTGCTTATTGATTATGAGTATCTTTCTGTCATCTGTGATACTGTAAGAGTGTGTGATAACAGTGATGATATCATTTATGATAATAATGATTATGAGTAAGTGAATAGCTCTCAGTGATATGTCATGTTAACAGAGGATTTATCATCCATCCCATTGTGGGAATAAGATTTTACATTTTTTGTTTTAGCTATTGATTAATTTTTAAGTATCTTTCTCAAAGGATTGATTATCATATTCATTGGGAAGATCTTTAGATTTCTTAGTTTTCTTTTGTTTTTTCACTAATTTTGTGGTTTCTTTATTTGAATAATTTTCATTTACGACTTTAGGTGGAGCATTTCTTGCTTTGTATTCCTGTTCTTGTT